GTTATGGCTCTTGATCACTTTAAAATATCTTGTGGACGCTCTAGATGCTAAAGTTATTATCAGATTGACTTTAAATTTATACACAGTGTTTAAGATCATGAGACGAAGAAATCTATTGATTTTCAATGATTTCCGATAATTACTCACAGAGCTATGGCCCTTGATCACTTTGAAAAATCTTGTGAACGCTTTAGAGGCTAAAGTTAAAATGTGATTGGCTTTATATTTATACATTATTTAAGTTCATGAGACGAAGATTAGAAGCCTATCAATTTTCAAGGATTTCCAATGATTATGGCAATTGTTATTAAATGTTTATGCTGAATGTTAGAATAGGGCAGAACTAGAAGCTAAATGGGTTGTTACTTGTTATCAGATTTTAGTGTGTTGTACGGTAAATGTTTTCATTTCTTACAAATGAAAGAATATGTGACAACCCTGGTTGACTCCCCGGACGACATAGCTGCTGTGGGCATATGTTTTGTTGCCTTGGCAACCTATCTTTTAGATAATAATCAATGTCATTAAAATTAAATAATTCTTTTCACTATCAGTCAATGTGATCGTCATTTTAAAAAGAAAGATGACCATAGTCTAATGAATTCCATCACACATTTTTGAGGTATCCCATGTCACATTAATTTCATGTTGCATAATTTTATTGTTTTACAGTACATCAAATTTACACTTCACAACAAGATTCCAATTAATGAATATCAAAATATGTTTTCTGTACAGAAATTCTTGAAATTCTTCTCTATTAAAGCCATCATATTCCAGAATAAAGGCAATAAAGTTCCATCTCTTAAAGGAATATCCATCAGTCAGAAAATGTTTTTGTTCAGTATTTACAGTAATCAATTGGAAATTTGTCAATATTCACCATCCATTGTAAGGATAATGATAATAATTGATTTATATAGTGGCGACAATTCAGCTCAGCGAGCTGCTCTCGGGTGCTTTACGTAAGAACAACTAATATTAAATTACAATAATCACAACACATTAATCCACAAAAAAGACATAAACAAAAAACAGAGAACATTATTTAGTACACATGGTAAAAGTCTGACACAAACAAAGCTAGGACTGTATTCAATCGTATATTTGATTAAAAAGTTCGGTTTTGAAATACTTTTTAAAACCTTTAATAGAATTTGCGCTTTTGGTTTCACTCGATATTCAATTCCATAACTTCAGAGCACCGACTGCGAAAGATCTATCACCGGAGTTGGTTTTTGAAAAAGGCTTAATTAAGAGGTTGTCTGATTGTGATTGAAGGGTTCTGCAAGGGTTATTGGAGTTAAGAAGGTCTCTAAGATATTGAGGTGAAGAATCATCATTTAGAGCAGAATACGTAATAGTATTTTAAAATTGATATGTTGATGGACTGGAAGCCAATGGAGATCTTTCAGAATTGATGTCATGTGTTCATTTGGTTTAGTCTTGGTTATGATCCGGGCTGCTTTATTTTGAAGTTTCTGAAGTCGTTTAATTTTATTTTCAGGTAGATTGTACAAACGGGAATTATAGTAGTCGAGTCGTGATGTAACCATAGTGTTTACCAGCATTGTCACTATCAATGAAAGATCTAATTTCTCCAATATTATAGATCTGAAAATTAATACTTTTATACATGGCCGAAATTTGTCTATTCATGTCCAGATTAGAGTCAAAATAAATACCACAAATTTTTACAGAATCTCTTGGTGTCATAGAGATATTGCCATAGTTTTGATAGTTTTCAGTTTTAGATTCTAGTAGTTGCTGCCTGCTGCCGACTTTCATTATTTCTGTCTTGTCATCGTTGAGTTTTAATAAATTCGAGTCCATCCATTTACGAATATCTGATAAACAGGCCTTAAGTTTGCATATCTCAGATGGTTCAGAAGTAGGCTCAAAAGCTATATAAATTTGAATGTCGTTAAGACCATGTTTACGAATAACATTTCCTAAAGATGTTATATAGTAAATAATAAAGGACCCAAAACGGAACCCTGTGGCACGCCATACTTTAAAACCGTTGAGTTTTAAACTGTAGATGATATAGTACAGTATGATCAAGCTATGAAAAAATTGGGCATTGTCTGATAAATGCAAATCAGTGTCTTTAAAGTCTTTAATTTTGATGGAAGGAGGCCATCATGTTTATTTACCACCCGTAGATCTGATTTATTAATAAGTTATTATTTAAATGATGTGTGATATACTTACAAATTGGTCATATTTGGGTTGCATTATAATTATAATTAATATTTGGATGGAGAGTTTTATAGGAAAATCGGTTAAAATCAACAGGTTTGATGAATTATTCAATGTTATTTTATCAAAGAAATGGGATATTAAGGTATTGGCAGTATTGCCTCAAATGTATATTATTAGATCCTAGAGGTTTAATACATGTAAAGTGTTCAGCAATTAATGACATTTACAGGTGTGAGTAGTGATAATGATATAATAATACATTTACTTGGTCAGTATTATACATACTGTACACATATTCTTATATAAAATCTTGGTGTTGGTTAATAGAGTTTTATAGAGGAGATCATACTATTCACTGCATTGTTTGTACCTTGATTACATTTACAGACAATGGTTTCTTAATGTTGATAATAGCTTTACAGTAATACTAATAATAACCCTTCAACTTTAGCACTTGGACCACCCAAAATTAGTGCCCCTTACAGCACCCATGGCCCCTTGTCACATGAGTAGCAGTGTTGAACTTATACAATTATACAATAAATATGGAGAGCTATTACCGTGACCCTGGCAGTTTGAGGGAGCAATTGATTTGGGTTTCAGGCTTCCCTGAGATATACAGGTATAAATTATCACTTTTGATTTGGAAAATATATTAAAGGTATGTTCATCATTACTAATAAGAAATATTGCATTATAAGTTCAGAATGTGGGATAAGTTAAGTAATTTAAGGATTGGTTTCATTTGTCTTGTAGAGATATAAAACTTAAAAGTAAACAAATTATTCATTCAAACTTTGAATTGATATTGAATAAAAAAAATGCTTGACACACCTTTGTTGTAGGTTTGCAGTCAACCATTTCACATACTCGAGCTGTTATAGAATATTTGTATGCCTGAAGCCATTGAAATAATCAGATTTTATCTTTAAAGAAACAATCAAAAACTGATAAGATTGTTATCTATAAGTACTCTCCTCTTGGAGTGGTACATTTAGGCCTGTAGTATTACACTGTATTACAGATAGTTCAGTACAAATCTCCTGTGATGTAATAACAGCATCTTAATATCATACAAAATACCTACTAGAGTTGGAGATTGACAAATATGTTTAGACAAGACAGCCTAGAGCAACACACTGTTATTCTAATGTAAATGTGTGTTGCTGACAGTCAACTAATAACTACAATAATAATCGCCTTATGATATTCTCTAGGGAAATAGATATTTTTTTTCTACTGGCTCCTACAGCTAATAATAATATTGATAATGTACAAACAATTACAATTATATAATGGTCACCCATGGAAACAGTTAAAATTTAATATTTATGCTGGTGATCGGTATATTACACAAATCATCGTCAATTCGTAAACATTTTGACATGTCACAAATGATACGAGACGAGGTAAAAGGAGAGCCAAGGCAGTGGTTCTAAAATAATACAGGTGTCATATCAAACATAGAAATTAAATTAGCTCTTCATGGTTTGGTCTTTACAAGGTTAGTCAGGCAATCCTAAATCATTTCATGTAGAGCCTGTGATTTAACACATAATTTGCATAGATAACAGGTTTTATAATCTACAGTGCAGGCAAAAGAAACATTTCTTTTATATCAAATTACTAAATTAGAACTTTCTATCCATAATCGCATGACTTCCCCATTAAATCACAACCTCAACAGTTATACTGACATTATAAAGTTATATATATCTATACTAGATAAAGTATCTACATGTATTCTTTATTAACCCAAATTTGTTTCTAATAAAACTAAAATATTCAGATACATGTACATGTAATATAATATAGGACTTACAGATCAAAGAATAGTATATTTATTTACAACGGACAAGTTAGTGTGAAAAAATATCTTGTTTTGTTTTTTGACATACGGTATGTATTTCTACATTAAAAAGTTTACATGTATGTCTGTAAAATAAACCATAAAGTACTTAAACACCTACACATAAAACATACTTTTCAATCACTTTCGATGCACAAAAGATCAGTGTCCTTTATAAAACATGGCCCCCTATATGATTTATTTTGGAATTGTTTTTACTGACAGTTTGACATATGTACAGCTCATATAATTATCCAAGCTACCAGATTATGCTAAACACAATTACCATATAATATATAAAAAAAATGGAGTTTTAGTTTTTAACTGGTAAGTGTATCAAATGTACTGTACATTTGACAGGTCTAGCTCCTTCAATACATGTATGTTTACAAACTATACAAACTAAATAAGAATGTTTACAAACTATACAAACTAAATCAGAATGTTTACAAACTATACAAACTAAATCAGAATGTTTACAAACTATACAAACTAAATCAGAATGTTTACAAACTATACAAACTAAATCAGAATGTTTACAAACTATACAAATGAAATCAGAATGATAAACTCTGGTTCTGTGTCATGCTTTAAGAGCAAGGGAGGTTTAAAGGACAATATTGGTGTCAGTCATTATTACATATGTGATAGAACTAATTAAACACGTTCCAAATATAATTTTAACACAGAGATCATTGCTACGATAGCTGAGTAATACAGCTTTCCTGAATCGGAAGTGACGAACGCCAAAGGAAAACACGAGTCATACCTCTATATAACTGACTGATGTGACGAGTGATAACAGATACACGGCCGAATTTCTGCTCACTAATAATTCCTTCCAAGACCAAAATATTGTCCTTTAAGTATTGTTTTAATTACGTGGAGTTTACATTGATCATTTATCTTTAAAATTACAATAAAAAATGAAACTTTTTAATTTTAGCAAGCTGAGTCTGGATATGGAAGTGAAAATAATCTTCGCCGCCATGGCTCCATGTTATCATTGGCATCTGGTACCAGTTTATCAACTACATCAGCCTCCTCATTTAAAGTAAGATTATATCTTTAGTTTTTATATTGATTTTATGTTGATCAGGAAAGGATAATTTATTTTATCATTTCATGATATAAATTTACATAGGATTCTTTTTAAAAAATAAAACAAAATAACAAAATTGTTTGTTACTAGTTTAAAAAAGTTAAGTGTTACCATACTATAATACATGTGTAAAATACATGTACTGTTTAAAAGAAGTTTATTAGCTGTGTACATCTTTTTGTGGTTTTCAAGGAGTTTAACAAACGCTCATTCAAAAAACCATTACTCTAATAAACTGTAGGTCAGTGCTTGGATTTTATTCTTAATATTGTATTACTTAGAATTATTTGCATTTATTTTTTGGGTATGACTGAGAGTAATATTGTTTCTTTAATTTAGCTAAAATAAGAGTACCTTAATACATGTAGTAAATTCTTTCTATTTAACCATGATTTAACTTAAACATACATTATGCAAGAGCTAAATATGCCTATTGCAGGTCTTTCTTTAGACCTGAAATGTTTTCTAAATTATTAATTAGACATTAACTTATCCAGGCCATAATCAACTCTCGATGCCATCGGATTAGAACAGTTCAGCCATATTTTGATTTAAGCTAAAAATTCAGGAACGAGACTTAGCTTCGAACAACCAGTACAGTGGTTGAAATTGTTGCACACATCTTGTCAAACCTTCAAAGGCTCATATCTTTGCTCGCAATAGAGTAATTTGAATGAAATTTTCAAATTATTCATTTTACTTTATCTATTTCGAACTATTATAGCAAGAATGGCTAGCTCTTTATCTAAATCTTACATAATGTATCTTTAACTAAATGTATTTAGAAAATTATTAAAATGGTATGAATAATTAAACCAATGTTATGTGTATTATTCAGAAACAATTTTGTTTTTATAATATTTTCAGAGAGGGCGAGGTTTGCGGGAAAAACTCCATGAAATGGAAACGTTCCGAGACATTTTATGTCGTCAGATAGATACATTACAGAGTTATTTTGATAGTTGTGCATCAGCTGTAGCACATGGTACACATCAACAATGTAAGTTTTAATTATAAAATCAATGCTGTTAATGAAATTTGAATAAAGTCAGGAAAAGAATACAAACCCAAGAATCTTGATAGATCCAAGCTCAAATTATTAACCCTTTGACACTGATGTCTAACTAATATCTGAACATCATGATGGTTGATTTGCAGTGAATGAAAAAGCAACAGACCTGAATGGACAAGATGATTGTCACTACCAGTACGAGATTGAAGTGTCGTTTCCAATCATACTTGAGTCGGCATACACGCTGGATAATAATCCATTTTTCCACTCTTCTGGTATCTTATTTGGTGAAAAAAAATTCTGAGGTTCTTTTAGTGCTCAGAATAAAAGATTACCATATTTATCTATAAATCTAAATTTCACATTCATTTAGACAATTTGAAATAAAAAGTAATTTTGACAGTAATTGACTTCATGAATCACACAATTACTATACTCTTTCTTCTAATTTAGAGTCAATTTAGATGTTAAATATTTGTGTAAATTATTTTATTTGTAGTGAATGACAATGACGATATTGATGATATCGATGATCTGGAACCAAACTCAACATCTTTAACAGACAATCTTAGTCACAAATTTGAAGGTCTCAAAACAGGAGATATTGGTAAGGAAATCTGATAATAGTATATGTTAATTCCTAGAAAATTGAAACAATAAACAGTGGAGAGACATGTGCGTTGAGTTTTAGTTTGGCTTTCTTGATTGTAACATTTCAAGAATATTTGTAAATGTTAATATTTTATAATAGAAATAATTGACATCAACTCTTATTTGACATTGAATATGTGACCACCACTGGACACTTTAATTTAAATACAGCACAAAATTTCAAAATTCAATTTCTACCAATTTGAGTTACTGGACACTTTAATTTGAATACAGCACAAAATTTCAGAATTAGATTTCTACCAATTTTGAGTTACTAGCATTTTTGTCTTCAAAATATGACCCTGTTTTTAAATTCTCCAAAGTCCAAAACCTAACAGAAATGCATAAAATTTGCTGTTTTTAGTGGCTATGTTAGTTTTCATAATATATTTTATTCTTGAAATTAAGAATTTACAGAGCTGGTCACATATTTCAATAAAGTAAGAGTCATCCATACAGTCCTGAGTTTAGATTTCAAGAAAATCTATATTTAAGATTTGGATTAAAATGAAAATACATTTGATTTACATAAAGTATTTATTCTTTCAGCCTGTATATTACAACAACATGGAGGTCATTCCGTAGACTTTAAGGGAGAAGCTTTTACATTTAAAGCTACAACTGCAGGTATTGTGGCTACACTGTCTCACTGTATTGAATTAATGTCACAGAGAGAAGAGGCATGGAAAAAACGATTAGAAAAGGTACAGTATTCATATGGTTATACTTAAAGCTAAGCCTGCTTGCTTGGTTTAGATCAAAGTAAAGATCTTGACTTATCTTTGGTTTATCTGATGTCCTAATAGTTTGGATGCAGCTATGGCGGGTGTGGCGCCAGGCAGGGTAAGCTTACTCTTCCGGACACCTGTTACAAATGTTTGTCGTGTTTTTTTAATACACGGTGAACAGTCCATATGCTGATTACACTATTTTGCCTTGTTACACTATTTTGCCTATACCATTTTTTTAGGACTTCGAATTTTGTCTAATGGTTTGGATTGTTCGTACTTTGTTTTATTTTATTATCGACAAGCCCAATACAATTAAAATTTTGATTCTAAAGATTAAGCGGAAGTTGACTCGTTTGCACATTTTAGTTTATATTTGGCTTTGTGTGTCAACAGTAGAAAACACTGGTTTGACCTATTCTCACCCCACAAAACCAATATCTAGTAAAATTTACAATTCTGTTTTTGATCCTAATCTAACATGTGTAGCCATTTTAATTTACTGTTATTGTCAAACAATTCTTGAATACACCACAGAATGAGATGGTGCTCAATATTGATTGTTTTTCGGTTGTTAAATATTTGGATATGCTAGAATAAAGTGTTTACAACATTGATTCAATCTCACATAGTTCTAATTAAAACCTGTTTGTCGAAATCATATAAATAGTTCATAAAAGCCAAAAATAATAATTTACTACTATTTTTTTTTAAGGAGGTAGACAAAAGGAAAAAATATGAAGAATCATATAAATCCTTATTAAATGAAAGACCTAAAGCAGTTGTGTTAGGTGGTCCTGATTATGAGGTATGTGATTGTCTCAATATTTTCTACCTTACAAATGGCTACAGTTGCTAAGGGTTACTGTAGAAACAATAGCTATACAGTGGTACATTATATGTGATGAAAGTATGCATTTTTATCTTTTTTGTTCATACATGTATGTATTTGACTATGTGTGAATAGTGCACACACAATAGGGTTTTGTTTTTTTTCCATCATGCTTAACTTCATTTATTTTTCATCATGTTAAATTTAATTTTTGTTGTTGTTTACTTCAGTAAGTGTATGATTAAATGTGTTTATTTCTTTTAATTATGTGAAAATTAGGAAGGACCTCATTGTTTAATTCCTGAAGAAGAATTCTACGATGCTGTTGATGCTACTTTAGATAAACTTGAGAAGGAAGAAGAATCTGTAAGATTTTAAAGTATTTTGTTCACAAGACATTAAACCAAACCATTTCCTGTATTATATTTGTTTTAAAAAAACAAGAAAACATTTTCTATTATAAAGATACATTACTTAAGATTTGGATAAATAGCTTGTCGTAGATAATGCAAAATGAATATATTGAAAATTTCATTCAAATTACTGTATTGTGAACCAAGTTATCACTGTCTGTGGTTTTGACAAGATATGTGTATTGATTGTTATCGTAACCATGGTACTGGCATATTCGAGTCTTGTCCTCGCTTTTCGATCTTTAAATTAAATCATTAAATGGCCGAACCATTCTAATCTAGTTAAAATCTCAAGTATCCAATAGCATTAAGAGTTGATTATGATCTTGTCATGTTAATTAATGTTTAATAGTTTATATAACATTTAAGGCCTAAAGAAAGATCTGCAATAATCAAATTAAGCTCTTGAATAATGTATCTTTAAGCAATGGACAACGATATTGTCTTTTTCTAAGCTGAAATATCAAGGAAATTTATTCTAGCAACTTTTGTGATACTAGTAGATTTTTAGTTCTAGGCATTGATATTCTTACAAAGTCAGATCTGTTCAATAGGCATGTTCTCTTAAACTCATGGTAGATATGTAAATTTAGGTCCCAGGGCCCTTTGTTTCACCATGTGTTGGATTATTTAGATGTAAATATTGTTCTTTATTGCATTGTGTGTTGATTTATTACAGAAAAGAACAGTTGCATTTGTAGAAAAACCACCTAAAATTTCTTTGTCACCAGAACATAAATACTATGCAGAAGTAAGTTTATGATAAGTTTTTAGTTTTCTAGGATTAAAAGCATGTATAAATGCTAAATATTATATAATATTGGAATGAATAAGAAAAAATCCATAAATTATGGTGGAATTAACTAAATTTAATTACTTTTTCTTTTTTAGGTAAACAAAATCGTGACACATCATTTGGGCCAGATTAATGAAAACTTGGAGGAATCATGGACATGTATTGCAGAGGAAGGAGAATTAAAAGTCTATAAACGAGAACTGGAAGAAGATGGTATCGTCATAGATCCACTTAAAGCTATTCATGTTGTTAAGGTCAGTTAGTAATTTACACACAAAAAATGTGCATTTTTAAAGATGACTTTGCAGAATTTCAAATACAAGTAAAAAAAAACCTTTGAAACCTCTACTACTACAAAATAAATAATTCATAATATCATTTAGTTGTAGAAGTGGATGTTTAATAAATCCCTTTTCACACAAATTATTTAGTAAATAAATAATTAAACCTATGATCTGACATAATCTAGATTAATTAATACATCTTCACTTTATCAAATGATTTGTATTATTAACAACAGGGTATTACTGGCCATGAAGTCTGCAAGTATTTTTGGGATATTGACTTTAGGATGGAGTGGGAAGGTAAGATATTGCATGTTTAACAACCTCAGAAGTTAGAACAGTACTTTATTATCCAGCAATTATTTTCCAACCGAAGCAGAAATGATGTATTTTGATTACATTGAATGTACCTCATAAGCACAGGGCAAAATATAAAAAAAAACTCATAAGCTTACAGATTGATAATTAAATAAGGCAATTTAGAAAGACTTTGAAACATACTAATATTATTAGTAAATATCTTGTCACCAAACTGGTGTGATAACTTGAATTTTTATTGGTTTTTTTCTTGCTCTTGCACAGTATAATGTCAACTTCAGCAACATGGTGTGTATTTAAATATTTTTTTCAGCTACATTGGATTCTAGTGAGGTAATAGAATGGTTATCAGAAGACACATTTGTGAGTCACAATGTTATAAAGAGAGTGTGGCCAGCATCACAGAGAGACGCTTTATTCTGGTCACATATACAACATATTGCTAGTGATCAGGATGAAGAACCTGATAGATGGATTGTTGTTAATTATTCTACAGAACATGAACATTGTCCTGTAAGTATTTATATCCTTTTAATAAACAAATTTAATCAGTAGAGTAGAATATCACATTTCTTTAAAGATACATTATGGGAGATTAGATCAAGAGCTGGTAGTTTTCACTATAATAATTAAAAACTAGATAATGTAAAGGGAAATTGCTGAAAATTTTTGTCAAATTGATCCACCCTGAACTGAGTATTTAGCGATTGAATTTACTAAAGTCGGTACAATAAAAAAAAACATAGTCTTGATTATCCATTTTTTTATTTAATCAGAAACCGCAGACAGTGTTCTAATCAACTAAATATCGTAGGCTAGCGATGCCATCGAGAGTTGATTATGGTCTGGATAAGTTAATTAATGTCTAATTAATAATTTAGATAACATTTCAGGTCTAAAGAAAGACCTGCAATTGGCCGATTTAACTCTTGCATAATGTATGTTTAACAAAAATCAGTGAAAGGAGTAAAAGCTGCTGTATAGTTCTCTTGTAAAGACAGTTTCATCTACATATTAAGAGTCTCTAAATAATGTATCTTTTAAATCACTTTTAGAAAATGTTTTATCATTTATTTTGCTAAAGAAATCTGAGATTGTCATCTTTCACATCACATCTAATACCTGTATTTTAAAAACTAATAACACAAATGATTGGTATCACATAATTCAGTCTTCAGTGTTGTAACATAAAAATGTCAATTATGTCATTTTATGATGATAATAATTTTCTTGATTTGGTTGAACATATACCACTTGGAGACAAAAAAGGATGAAAAGACCTTCCAAAGGGAACTGTTGAGTAAATGTTTATTTGTAAACAATCTTGTGTATGTTCTGGAAGAAAGCCCTTCCCTTTTTTGGAAGAGTCAAAACAAATCAGCTAAATGCAATATTCAGTTGTGGATGATGCTTCTGAAATGAGAGTTAATATTATGTATTTTATATTATTTTGTCCATAGAGTTCTAAATATGTGAGAGTATTTATGAATGTGGCTATGGTTTGTGAAACTATGATAAAACCACCAGCAGATGGTAAAATCAGTAGAGATGATATAACATGTAAAATCATCTATACAGCTGAAGGTAAGTTTAACAAAATTAATAATTATTTCATACATGTATAGAGAATGTGATGGTGCTTTATATGCAAATAAGATGTGATGGCTCTTTATCTGCAAACAGTAGCTTCTGCTGATATACTTTGTCTGTCATATATAAGCTTTGTGAGCTTTCCATTTGTGGTCTACGCAGTTTGGTTAGTTACCTCCCCTTAATGAAAAATTTTGTGTTGATTTTATGATCACATTGGGGATGCACGATTGGAAGTCAAAAGTGTCCCGAATGGACAGAATTGCAATCTTGTGAAGAGGAATTCAGTCCTGTTACAGTTCTGTCGGTCCCAACAACTGAGGTAGTGTGAATAGGATCATAACGAATATGTTTCAGCTGTCATGGTTGGATGGAATATTGTAGCCTGAAATCCCCCTTTTCAATCGATTGACACTTTTTTGGGGGATGGAGAAAATTCAATTCTGAAACGTTCAATCGAGTATCCCCTTTATCTATTAATTGAGTACAACAATATTGTGCGCATATTAATCCTATCAGAAAGATTTGAACTTGCTGATCAATATTAATGCAAACCATGAAAATATTTCAAATTTTAACTGGGAACTGTAAATAATTACTGTTGTTTTTGGGGGTTTTTTTTACAGTTAATCCAGGTGGTTGGGCACCAGCCTCAGTGCTTAGAGCTGTATATAAAAGAGAATATCCAAAATTCTTGAAGAGATTCACATCATATGTTAAAACAAAGACAGAAAATGTTGAGATTCTTTTATAAGTTAAATTATAGCATATATATTTCTTATTATTCCATTCTTATTCAGCAGTTATATATTTTTGTATATAAATCTCGAGTACTTCTATGAAGGGGATTGAGACTTCAGGCTGATTCCTTGTTGGCAGTTGAATTGTAATCATAATAATTAACTAAAAACAGAGATCTCCCCTTTGTTTGGGGTAGTCAAGTCCTTAAATTCATTTCAGAGAATTATTGTTTAACTACCAACAAGGTGTAAGTGCATCATGTAAATAATTTCTATGGGATGCATACTACTCTAATTGATATCTTGAAATATAATAATTATATTACAACCAATGTGTAAATGATTACTGAAACTAAACTTATATATTTGTCAGTATTTACATATATTTTTGTTTAATGGAAGAAAATTAAATTAAATCTGATTTAAATAAAATTTATGGAGGAGTTTATTTTGATGAAAATCTAATGATTCAAAAAGTTTTTGTTTATTTTCCTAAAATTAAAAAGTTCTTTCCACATCTATATTGGTAAATAATACTTTTATTTAGATAATAGATAATATACAATTACTAGATCTTAATGTCTAGCATATGCTGTAGAAATGGTTTAAAGACCCTACTGAAAATTATTTGACAAGTAGTAATTTACTATGATTAATTTATAAAACGAAAGTTTTTCTTATCAGTTTATTATATAGTGTTCTGATTTTTTTTTTTTTTCCATTAGTCTAGAAAACATAGACATTAAAAATATAACTTTTTAAATTCTTTAATCTTTTATTAGGAGCAAATATTTCTTTAATAAGACATATTTATTACGAAAAAAAATTGAATGTCTCTAATAATGAATGTACTAATTCGATATAACAGATTTTGATTTTCTATTATGTAGGTTTAAAACAGATATTACCTAGAAAATTAGTGATTATTATTTGTTGGAACTACCACTTGTTATTTTATTATATTCAGATATCTAAAAGAACTTGTTGTATCTAAAAAAGATTTTAAGACAAAGATAACCACCACAAATCTATGTTTTGCTATTAAAACTATACAAATTGATATTATTACCTTACTGCTGGAATAATCTAAGTTCTTTAAAAAAAAAAAATGTCTGCGTTTTCAGTGGAACATTGTAAGTGCTTATTGTATTTTTATGGGTGTATATTTTGTTGCTCAGTAGCCTGACTTTAAAAGGTTCAAGACAAGATTTTGCTATTATTAAAATGGACATGTATCATGTTATTGTCATGGTAAGTTGGTATGCTATTATTGTGGTTGTCAAGTTGTGTGACTGGGTGCCTTTAATCGGCCATAATGTCCGTCCTTGATTTCTGATAACTATCAGACATTATCATTTGAATATTGCCATAGTAACATTCTCTTATTTTCTAATAGTTTTCTAGATGAGTTATATTCTTAATATTTGAGATAAATGTTTTTAAAAAAGTTCATTAGATGCATAAAGATACATTTGATTTCGTAACCATAACAGAAATTTAGCACAGAATAAATTCTTATTGTCCTTTACTTTAGTTTTAAAATGGGATAGAAAATACATCTTCTTTTATTGGAAATTTCTTATAATATCGGCAAATAGTTAATATTTTCGTTTTGTTTGTTTCTTCATTTTTATACAATAATTAAAAGAGATACTTTATTTTGAATATAAAAACTTGATATTTAATGTCAATGACATACACATTGATCTATCATGTTTGTTTATATCTATCATTAAAAAAAATACATCTTCTATTTTTATGATCATCATTACATTATAAAATAATCTCTCGACTGCTAGAAAAATAATGCTTATCCAGATATTTAGAGCAATATAGATGTTTCATTATTTGAATATATTTGTCAGTTATTGTGGGTTTAAGTGTTGCTTCAAATTAATAATATTGGTAAATAATTGTATTTTGTAAATTTGTTATATTTTGTATAAAGAATTGTACATTTTGTAATCTAAGAGGAAAAGGTATACAACTGTTTAATTTAATCAATTCTCAGGCAATTATATTAATCTTCATGTTACATAAAACTCTTCACAATAAAGTTTGGCATAAATTTTAAATAAAAAGAACCTGCTGATGATTTAGAACTTCAAAAAGTTTTCTGAAGGTCTATTAGTATTACAAATTCTAAATAATGATCTGTAGATATAAAATACTTAAAGAACTAGATTGGTAGGATACACTAACACTATTAGATTAACTTTAAATCATATAATAATTATACATGTATATGATGTAATATTTAATAGTAAAAAAACAATTGATATAGTATCAGAGGAATGATCTTTTTATTATCTTAGTTCAATCCTTACTAAATTTAAGTAACCAAACTCTGTATTGTTGATTTTTGAAAATTTATAAGAGAACTGTTGATTTTATGGTGTCATGTCTTCAATAAATAAGCTTCAACTCATATATACTGTATATATATATTTATTTATTTATGTGCTTGAGAGTCGAGAGCCCCTACATAAGTGTTCTTTGATTAGTATGAATAAATGGGTCTATCTATTTAAATATTGTATCCTTGTAAAAAGAAATTCTTAATACACATGTAATACAAAATAATTATATACATACCTATAGTCACTTATATTTTATCTGTTAATGAATACGTTAATAACTGAGAATGTCTCTTTGAAAATTAATGATCATATTCAATTTATTTGGTCATGATTGTTATTAATTCATTCATTTTAAGATTCATTGCAATATCATATTGTGAGTGCTTTTGAAAACATCTGCTTGCTTGTAACTGGCGACAATTATAAACAGTATACTATTATGATTACACATGAAGGTACAATAGTTTATGAACTTTTGATTCCTGTAATTATAAACTTTATTCAATTGAACCCATATAAATATATACTTAATATTTGCCAACATGTATTATTATTATATGTTAATTTGACAGGTAGATAAAATATGTGGGCATTATATGAAAAACATGTTGATAAAATTACAACTAAAGTTGATTATATGCTGGTCTTCAAGTAAACAATTATTTTAAAATTTATACTATGCATTATACATGTGTAAAGTAGAATATACCAATATTACTAATCTACAACAGTTTTATAATTCCCTGAGCACTATTTTAATTAATGATTTCTTTAAGTTACCTTATTGTGCCTATTGCTGTTCTTCGATTTCTTTCTCCTGTAATAATGCAACTGCTAAAATCTGTTTATCATTGTATATGTGTGTAGTATGTTACTTATAAAATACTATTGAATAGGCATATCTCATCGAGATCCAAGGATTACAAAAATACAAGTTCTCCTGGCAATTGGTAAGAATGATGCAATTTTGAGGTAATTCTCATGAAGCCAAAATTTTGTAAGAATGCTGCCTAAAAATTTTAGCCTGCAGCATGAAACACCATATTCTTGGTCTATTAGAGTTTTCATAATTTTGATATCCCATAGCATTAAATTTATGTCCATGATTTTTTGGTATCTATTCAGTTCCTTGGATAATTAACTAATGACAGATCTACATGTAAATTATATTAGGTTTTGAAATAAAAAGTTTTTTCAATTTGTGTATAAATGAATGCTCAATGTTTGTTTATTATACTAGTTGTGAATACTGTTAGTAATAATCAGACTCTGTAGAGAGAATTTATTCTCTTCTTGTAAATAAACTGTTGTATTGCTACACTTGTCTTTGTCCTGATTATTTCTGTTATTTAAAGTCATTGACCAATGATAGAAATGAAATTACCATATGTTGGTCTCAGAATGACCAAAGTATTGAGTTGATGAGACATTAAAAACCCCATTCTATGTATTACTCAAAGCATGGATTAAGGAGTGCCTCAAGTTGCCAAATGGCTAATAGTCATTTCTCTTACTCATATTTAACAGAAATCAAGGGTTGGAAGATGTTCTTTAGATCGTAATCTAGATGAGTAAATCAAAAATCCTAGGTTAGATGCCATATTGACATGGATGTTCATCGATAGAAAAAAACTTATTCTTCAGTAGCTTAAGGGATGCTCGATTGTCAGTCCGGAACGATCCGAATTCACAGAATTGCAATAGAGTGACGCAGAATCCAGCCCTGTCACGGAGGTGGTGTGAGTAGAATGGTGACAAAATTAAACACAACAAATATGTTTCAGCTGTTATGGTTGGTTGAGATATTTTCTTATGCAGACAATGCAGGCATTGTGGCCCGAAATCTCCCTAGTTACTTGTTAGTCACTATTTTTGTCACCCGCCTTTTGAAGAAAGCAAGGGACTATTCAAATGGGTTCGTCCGTCTGTCTGTCCGTCACACTTTTTGGGACACAATAACTCTCATTCTACTTGAGCTAGAATGTTCAAACTTGGTGTAGGTGTTTGTTAGGTCCATGCCTTGATGGAGTGCGATGATGAACATTGTCCGCTTACGGTAAGCAATCTGATTGGTTGATGCTTTAGAGCACGATAACTTTAGTTATAATTAAGTGAGATCGATGAAACTCCGAGTATAGATTCATTATATCATTACCTTGACTAAGTTTGATGATGAGAATTTTCTGCTTAGGCTAAGAAGCGATAAGCAATTTGATTGGTCAAGACTTTGGAACATAACAACACTGCTTTTAATTGAGGTAGAATGTTTAAACTTCATTAGGTGAATGTCTTGACTGAGTTCAATGATTAACATTTCCAGCTAAAGCTAAGCAATTTCATTGGTCGATGCTTTGGGACAAGATCACTTGATTCTATCTGATAGAGAGTGATGAAATTTAGTATATAGTTGATAATCAGTGTGATTGCTCCATACTTTTGAAAAAACCAATGTGCAAGAGCTAAATCTGCCTATTGCAGGTCTTTCTTTAGGCCTGAAATGTTATCTAAATTATTAATTAGACATTAATTAACTTATATAAACCATAAACAACTCTCGATGTCAATGCTAGCCTGCAATGTTTACTGGATTAGAATCTGTTGGGCCAACAAGTTCTTCATCTGTGAACATACTCTCAAAGCATGTCAAGTGTCCATGACTATTTATCATATCACAACCTGCATAGGTATTTGCATTTCAATATCCCCTACTTTTTTTTGAAGAGTATATATTGAGAACTGTTAGCTCTTTATCTAATCTCCCATAATGTATCTTTAATTAATTTTTCCTCTATTTATTTTGGGATTTCGGCAGGGGACATCAACCTCACTGTTGACTTGTTGGATTTCAGACAATTTAATTAGAAAAAGAAATCAATACAAAGTAATGGCAACTCCAAATGGTCATAGTTTATGATAGGATAAGTCAATTATACTTTTTTGATCAGTATGCTTTTTGATAAGGCTATATTTTATTATGTACGGTTCGAAAGTCGACATTCATTGTGTGCCAATAATCAACTCTAGACCACCAGTCAATCCATCTTTAGTATGTCACCCCATGCCTTGACTGTATTAGCTGACTTCCCTATATCATGGAAGTGATCTAAATACAGCAACACTGCTCACTAAGGTGTACAAATCAAGCACCCATGTGTATAAATAAACTAGAATGTGTCTGCGATATCACTTCTGTGGAAGCGGACGTTAAAACAACAGGTAGTAGTAGTAGTACCTATTGTACATCAACACCAACTTACAGATTCATTGAGCATTATTCAGGAATAATGTTGATAAAATGTGTATCTAATATTTTACATAAAAGTTGTCTAACACAGTCAACAGGCATGCCAGTTTCTTCTATATCCCATAAAGCCACAAATTAAATATAAGCCAATACTATGAATAAAGCCATTTATTTTTAAGATAAACCTTAAAAATTACAAAGAGTACATTATTTTCACAACATTCAATGATAACAAGTATGATAGTACTATATGGACCAGGAACCAAACATTAAAAATCGAAGGCTGTCAATCAATGCACAATTGTCCAAGCAACATGCATGCCAGGTTTCATGTCGATTGTAGTTGAATTGGGAGCCTTATAATCTTTTAAAAAGATGAGTAGCGCTTAAGGCACAGTTCCTGTTCCAAAAATAGTTTTATTAAACAGGTAATATTTTATAACAAACTGGTGGAATAATCTCAATGTAATTCAAGCAAAAGCTCCCATTTATTATGCAATTGTATAGAGATAATGATAATGTAAATAATTTTCTGTCAAAAAAGGCAAAGTGAAGCTATATAAAATTAACATTTTTATTGGATTCAAATGATATAGAGGGAGTTGGTTAAGTAATATGACTTAATTAAAGTTATCCATAATTATAATAAGCACAGTTATCCATAGTTATAATAAGCACAAGATTTGTACACCTTTACCATAAGCATCGAGTCTCCCTTCTATAGTTTATTTGAAACAAATATCTTTTCCCTATAATATTGGAGCTCTTTAATACTCTCCTTTATATCATCTAAAGCTCTGAAAGAAAGAAAACATAAATGAATGTCTTGAAATTATAATCAGCATCACCTCAAGAACTATTTCTAATCAAATCAAGGGTTTACGTTTAAAAGATTTGAATGACGTACAGAATTTCAATATCATGATCATTTTAACAATCATTTCAACTTCAAGTTTCAAATTGAAATTGTTCGACTACCAGCATGTTAGAGATTTCATTTAACAGGCTGGAGAAATAATTATACCAAAGAAATACATAGCTTCAATTGAAGTTATTCATGCAGCTGAAAGGCCAGCATGATGGACAATCAAACAAACTAAAAAGACACAAAATAGGTTATAGCTGGTACTAATATTTACTTCATACAAATAACCATCGACTATCAGTTGAATTAATTACTAACCTGTGTTTTAAAGCTTTTTCAGGTGATTCATCATATACCTTTGGATACCAACGTCTGGAAAAATTAGTTACTGTTCAAAGTAGTTATATAATAATTACTGGTACAATATATAAGGATAAGATGCAAATTCAGACATGATTCAAATCTGATTGCATAATAACTTTAACTTTGAACATCAAAATAAAAGACACATGCTATCTTTATAAATACATATGAACGTATAACTATATGTAAGGTGTTACAATGACGCTGATCAGATCCAATATCAAATCCGACAGACTTTTAATATTATACACAAGGGCTTTATTATAGTACCATTGGGAGCTATCCTAACAACACAATAGCAAGGTCAAAGTGCATATTACTTAAAATAACTAAAATGCTTTGACTTGGGAAATGAAATGGGGTTTAACGTCATACTTTTTTTCTCCAAAACTGCACTAATGAAGATGGGCATACGCCATACAGTGTGCTATGAGGGAAATTTTGCCCAGACAGCGGTGCTACAGTCTACTCTTATATCAAATTCCAACTGTCAAGGGATATTTTATGTGCACGCCAATATGTACACCGGACCTCGTTTTATTGTCCCATCCGAACAACTAAACAGCTGTCCTTGTCAGGCCCTCCGTCCTGCATCACTGGCAAGTGGGAACCACGCAGGAAAATCTGGATGAACTTTCAGGCTAGCAAGCCAGCATCTCACCCACTTAGCCAATGTGGCCCCCCACCTTTGACTAGGGCAAAAATTAAAATTGTTGCTTTCATTGAATTCTGTCTTGATTAGCTTTGTGGGGTGACAATTTGCCTTCATTAAATATTTTACTTAGAATGATAAAACCAGTGTTTAGATATTGCATTCCACTCTTGACACAGTAAGGCAAAATTAAAAGTAATAAACAAGCCAATTCCGTGCAAGCTCTCTAAATGAAAATTAAATTGGTTGTTATCAATCCAAAACTGTTTAATCTAAAGCAAATTAAATCAAACCTGATTTTAATATTTGAGAATTCTTGTTACCTGCAGAGCTCTTTTATTGTGCTGACATCTACTAGGCGATAATGGAGGTGTTTTGTTAATTCTGGCATATATTTCTGTAGAAACATCTTATCACAAGCTATTGAGTTTCCAGCTAGTGGGCATTTAGCAGCATCTGTATGTTTCTTTAAAAACTCCAGTACTTGACTTTCAGCTTCTTTCTGGCTGATTTTACTCTCCAATACTTTCTGGGTTAGGCCACTCTAATGGACACAACAAATAGTTTACATAAAATATAAGAATGGTGTGAGAATCACCTAGGATTTGTTATCTTCTATTCAAATAATTCTAATGACAATCACCATTTAGAAGATAGGCTGTCGGGCAACGAAAATAAGCCCTCGACAGCTATGTTGTCCAAGTAGTCAGCACATTTGGTTTTTGTCAGTAATGAAAAGACTTACAACACACTAATATCTGACTACAAGTAACAAGCCGTTAAGTAATTATCAGAAATCATAAGAATTTGTTTGGCTCCTGGCTCTGCCCTATACTAACGTTTCGTATACAAAACATTTAATATCTAGGACCATAACACTGGAAGTAATTATTCGAAATCGTTGAGTTGAAAATCAATAGGATTCTTTGTCTCATGACCTCAAACACTGTGTATAAAACTAAAGTCAATCAGATATTAACTTTAGCCCCTAGAGCGTTCACTAGCAAACCCTCTGAAAATATTAATTCGAAATAAAACACCACTCAACCTTCATTTTATGTTATTTCATATAGCCTTATTTACAGATATATCTGTTAAAGTATTTGACATAAATTCACATATTTAATAATGGTGATTAAATTTACCTTGCCATGTTGATTTGTGCACCATTGTCCCATGTTATCCATAATTGATTTGTCTTGATTTACAATCAGGTTAGGTCCCTAAAATGAAATGAAAATCTGTATGAACTTTCTCGGCCAATGCAGGGATCAAACACCCGAACTCCAGGCTAGCGAGCCTGCGTCTTACCCGCTTAGCCACCATGACCCCCCCCCCGTCCCTAAAATGAAACAAATATCATTGTTGATATTGTAATGGAGCTTAAAATAGATTATACAACCAACCCTCTTACAATTTTTTAAGAATGTACACTTACAGGTTTTTGGACCTATGAACATCAAGCGTGGCGATTTTTTTCATTTAGATTAATTTAGATTCTTCATTAGTAGTGAATCGTTATGGGTTACTGTGATTGGCTGAAAATAGAACCGTTCCTAACTGTGGCCCGCTTTCATGCAGTTTCATCATCACACACTACACCTATTCATTTCAATGTTGGTTAAGGCAATGACTTCTAGTGCATTTGAAGTACATTCTAAAATAAAGGTAGTATTATTGGATTTTTGAAAATATAATTTCAAAACATGGTATATATTATTACCTCAGCAATAATCTTTAGCTCAGCATCTGTAACAATAGTGGCTATTTCTATTATTTTTTCTTTTTCTATATCCAATCCTGACATCTGAAAAAAAGAAATACACTGGTATGTAATGACTGAAAGAAAGAATTTTTTTTGGTTTGTGTCCCCTTACTGAGTTTTTATTGAAGTTTTGCAATATCCCTATTCCTCATCTATTTATCTGCCGAAAGGGTTCTCATAATAAAACACTTTCGCAAACTATATTCCTGACTATCAGAACATTGGGTTTGTGGGAGTGTTGTTGTTGTAGGTAGTGGGGTGTAACCGGGATTTTATAGGAGTCTCAATAAGAACATAAAATGCATCCATATCATCAAATATTTCAAAGGGATTTAATCGTCTTTCATATATTAGCTTTGATCGACCGGCTAGTAGTAGTACACAGGAAATATGTGACTTTTGTGCCATATTATATTACAGACTACATGTATAAACCCTAGACGGTACAATTAGAAAATCCTTTATTCATTTAAAACTTAAGAAGCACTTCTGTATTTATTAAGCTTCTAGGGGCTACAGTAAATTTAATTTACTTGCTCCACTAGATGTCTTTCTTTTCTTACATCTCTATCAGAAATATCAGGTGTTTTCACCATAAGGCAAAATCATATACAAAGCACAAGAACATATAAAATTGAAACAGGACAGAGAGAACATGATTTGCCGTCCACTTAACACAAACTATGTCATTTTTCAGGACTAAGTACAATTTAATTTCAACAAATCACTCGTGCGTAAGGGAATTATCTTAGGTGTGGGAGGGAGGGGAAAAAGAATGTCACAATTCACAAAAACTAAAAACAAAATGTAAATAGATAAATGTCAGTGTGACATCAAACAAATTGTACTTTTTGGTCGTTTCTGCCAATATATATTATTATATTATATGAGCTAACTCGTTGCTAGACTATGAGTTTGATTATAATAAAACCAGTGGTTTGTAATTCACATAGTTTGGCAAATTCGGTGGAAGCGGATTTTACTTTCACTTTTGTTTTCTTATAGACATACAAAAGTCATAGTCATAACCACGTGTCTTTTTATTCATATGTCTTGTAAACTACCTCTAAATCAATCCATATTAATCTGTTAGATCTTTCACTGTCATGTGAAGCCATGTTTCTGTTTAATATTGGCTGTAATCGCTGTATTCTTCTAACAAAACCACGACAAACAAACGGTAGCATCTAAGGTATCAGTACTTTCTTGGAAAACTTACTATTCTATATTTTTAACCCATGGTAAATCCCGCAATATCACTAAGGGAAGTAACTGGTAAATGATAGTCGGGATTAACAAGTCGTGTTTAAAAGGAGCTAAGCCTGTAACTCAATAGTTTCCATAATATTTGAAATTAAAAACACGAATTAGAATTCAATATTGATCAATTTTAATCAATACTGATGTTGTTATCTTGCCGTGAAACTATAGGATCCTAATATCCAATATAATTTTAAGACACAATTAACATTTTATAATGAGTCGTGTAGGCCCTACCCTATTCGGGTGTCATTTTGTACGGTAATGAAAAAAACCCAACAAATCCTACAACGTAATATGGAAGTAATTAGTAAAAGTTGATTCACAAAAGGCAAAATAAAGATTTAAAAAACGTGTAGAAAGCACTAAGCAGGTGTAAACGACTGCCGTTCAATTTGAACTGTTCACGTATTTCACCGAAAATAATTGATTAAAAATTACAATATTTTTTTTTCTCCAAAATTGAAAATATATCACTTTACACACATTCATATAAACATTAATATGTGCTTTTAGAACCATGTTTGTCTATTTCAATGTTCCAAAAAGTAGAGCCATACGCCCTCTAACGCCAGATCTCACGACAGTAAAATTGAAACACGACGGACGGAATCAACCCACCACAGTTCCCATTTGGTCGTTTTAAATTGGCGAGTTTATCATGGATACAGTTACGTGCAGCTGCCAAAATATATCTTTATCGGAAATAATGTCAAAAATATATTTGGACTGCAAACAACATGGACAAAGACAAGGTGTTTGCCCAGCCAACTTTGTTTGGGCCTGAGATGGGGTGTATCTTTTACTGCCTCGAGAGTCTTTAAGATCTGAAACTCATAGGTCATAGGGTCTTAATAATTCGAAAATCCAATGTGAGCGACTTTCTTCACAAATTCTCAAGAGCGTTGCCACAAGATCTACATTTAATGTTACGAAGGTTGACATAAATATCTAGCCGTTCGGCTCATATGAAAACGGGTCGGCTCCTCGAAAAGTGACCTAATGTTTGGGTTGAAGAGAGGTTATACGCGTGGATATGGGAATTTCAGAATTATTACCAGTCCCATAGAAATGTGGAAGACTAATTTAAACACAATTAGCCTATTGATTTTCAATTAGTAGAGATCAATTTGGTATAGCTAGACTATAAGCTGTATACCAAGATGAATTTTAATCGGATTGTGTTAAAACATAAACGTAGCAAAACAACCACCGGTCCTATGACAGGTGCGTGTCCGGGAATTTGAACAGATGGGGGATCCGTGGTGGAGACAACATCAAGCTTGACGAAAGGCCTGGGGGGTTACCCCAGAATTTTACAAAATCAGAAGTTCTGTGACATTATTTTGCTCACCTTGCCTCACTTGGTGGGGCCAATCTGAACGACAGACTCACCCTACACGCAGAGAAGTCAGCTACCATTTAATTTTCGTTCACTAGTTACGTACGTTAGTGGGGTATGAGGCCTAAACGGTGACAATGCACTTCGCACGTTTGTTTGTTCCACGTTATGTATACCAAAGTAAAATATGCTCTGGACACGTGTCTGTATTAGTACCAAACTGATCAAATTATTGTGTTACCTATTCCGTTCCTTTATAATTTTAAATCCGGCTTTACTGGAACCGAAAAGTGCAAAAATGATTTCTTTATATATCCCACCAGTTTGATTGGTCCCGAAGAGGCAAATCACTAAATTTTTAATGTCAAAGTAGGAATATATAATTTAATTGTATATTTATATTCAAAAATATAAGATATTTAGCTATCTATTCATTCATTTATTAGAATAAAATTATTATAAGGTGTCTGGCATTATTCATGAAGCCATTACGTCACACAATATTGAAACGAGATTGATATATCTAATTTTAACCCCATATCCACTGTTCAGACAGTCCTATAGTCATTTGAAACAGAAGCTATATAGGCCTTTTCGTGACTAACATAATGATGTATTTCTACTTGAATATAGGAACATTATATCATACTATTTGGACGTTAATAATATTCAGGGCAGGGGCTTGAAAAAAGAAACGATAGGCGTCGTTTTGGGGTTTTGTGTGTGTGTGTGTGTGTGTGTGTGGGGGGGGGGGGGGTTAATGCAGACAGATAAAAGACAGAAATATCAGGTGTTTTCACCATAAGGCAAAATCATATACAAAGCACAAGAACATATAAAATGGAAACAGGACAGAGAGAACATGATTTGCCGTCCACTTAACACAAACTATGTCATTTTTCAGGACTAAGTACAATTTAATTTCCACAAATCACTCGTGCGTAAGGCAATTATCTTAGGTGTGGGAGGGAGGGGAAAAAGAATGTCACAATTCACAAAAACTAAAAACAAAATGTAAATAGATAAATGTCAGTGTGACATCAAACAAATTGTACTTTTTGGTCGTTTCTGCCAATATATATTATTATATTATATGAGCTTACTCGTTGCTAGACTATGAGTTTGATTATAATAAAACCAGTGGTTTGTAATTCACATAGCTTGGCAAATTCGGTGGAAGCGGATTTTACTTTCACTTTTGTTTTCTTATAGACATACAAAAGTCATAGTCATAACCACGTGTCTTTTTATTCATATGTCTTGTAAACTACCTCTAAATCAATCCATATTAATCTGTTAGATCTTTCACTGTCATGTGAAGCCATGTTTCTGTTTAATATTGGCTGTAATCGCTGTATTCTTCTAACAAAACCACGACAAACAAACGGTAGCATCTAAGGTATCAGTACTTTCTTGGAAAACTTACTATTCTATATTTTTAACCCATGGTAAATCCCGCAATACCACTAAGGGAAGTAACTGGTAAATGATAGTCGGGATTAACAAGTCGTGTTTAAAAGGCGCTAAGCCTGTAACTCAATAGTTTCCATAATATTTGAAATTAAAAACACGAATTAGAATTCAATATTGATCAATTTTAATCAATACTGATGTTGTTATCTTGCCGTGAAACTATAGGATCCTAATATCCAATATAATTTTAAGACACAATTAACATTTTATAATGAGTCGTGTAGGCCCTACCCTATTCGTTTGTCATTTTGTACGGTAATGAAAAAAACCCAACAAATCCTACAACGTAATATGGAAGTAATTAGCAAAAGTTGATTCACAAAAGGCAAAATAATGATTTAAAAAACGTGTAGAAAGCACTAAGCAGGTGTAAACGACTGCCGTTCAATTTGAACTGTTCACGTATTTCACCGAAAATAATTGATTAAAAATTACAATATTTTTTTTTTCTCCAAAATTGAAAATATATCACTTTACATACATTCATATAAACATTAATATGTGCTTTTAGAACCATGTTTGTCTATTTCAATGTTCCAAAAAGTAGAGCCATACGCCCTTTAACGCCAGATCTCACGACAGTAAAACTGAAACACGACGGACGGAATCAACCCACCACAGTTCCCATTTGGTCGTTTTAAATTGGCGAGTTTATCATGGATACAGTTACGTGCAGCTGCCAAAATATATCTTTATCGGAAATAATGTCAAAAATATATTTGGACTGCAAACAACATGGACAAAGACAAGGTGTTTGCCCAGCCAACTTTGTTTGGGCCTGAGATGGGGTGTATCTTTTACTGCCTCGAGAGTCTTTAAGATCTGAAACTCATAGGTCATAGGGTCTTAATAATTCGAAAATCCAATGTGAGCGACTTTCTTCACAAATTCTCAAGAGCGTTGCCACAAGATCTACATTTAATGTTACGTAAGGTTGACATAAATATCTAGCCGTTCGGCTCATATGAAAACGGGTCGGCTCCTCGAAAATTGTTCTTTTCTATGATATTGATACCTCTACCCGGCTCGCACTTGATTTAATCCTATTCATATTTATTATATTTCATCAATTGCAATATTTTAGACTTGTTTTTTAAGAAAAAATACTGGATTTTTTAATGAAGTTAATAAAGTAGTGGCGCCGAGGCTAATACGGAAAGCGAACCAAGTTCCTCCCACTGTCCACCAACGGAGACCTAATGTTTGGGTTGAAGAGAGGTTATACACGTGGATATGGGAATTTCAGAATTATTACCAGTCCCATAGAAATGTGGAAGACTAATTTAAACACAATTAGCCTATTGATTTTCAATTAGTAGAGATCAATTTGGTATAGCTTGACTATAAGCTGTATACCAAGATGAATTTTAATCGGATTGTGTTAAAACATAAACGTAGCAAAACAACCACCGGTCCTATGACAGGTGCGTGTCCGGGAATTTGAACAGATGGGGGATCCGTGGTGGAGACAACATCAAGCTTGACGAAAGGCCTGGGGGGTTACCCCAGAATTTTACAAAATCAGAAGTTCTGTGACATTATTTTGCTCACCTTGCCTCACTTGGTGGGGCCAATCTGAACGACAGACTCACCCTACACGCAGAGAAGTCAGCTACCATTTAATTTTCGTACGCTAGTTACGTACGTTGGTTGGGGTATGGGGCCTAAACGGTGACAATGCACTTCGCACGTTTGTTTGTTCCACGTATGTATACCAAAGTAAAATATGCTCTGGACACGTGTCTGTATTAGTACCAAACTGATCAAATTATTGTGTTACCTATTCCGTTCCTTTATAATTTTAAATCCGGCTTTACTGGAACCGAAAAGTGCAAAAATGATTTCTTTATATATCCCACCAGTTTGATTGGTCCCGAAGAGGCAAATCACTAAATTTTTAATGTCAAAGTAGGAATATATAATTTAATTGTATATTTATATTCAAAAATATAAGATATTTAGCTATCTATTCATTCATTTATTAGAATAAAATTATTATAAGGTGTCTGGCATTATTCATGAAGCCATTACGTCACACAATATTGAAACGAGATTGATATATCTAATTTTAACCCCATATCCACTGTTCAGACAGTCCTATAGTCATTTTAAACAGAAGCTATATAGGCCTTTTCGTG